CGATTTTTTGATTGCCGATTTTTTGATTGCCGAATTTTTGATTGCCGAATTTTTGATTGCCACTTTATTGCCGAAATATAATATGCTGAGTGGCAGCAATCGAAAAGAATTCGGCAATATTTTTATTATTAAATTTAATCAAATTCGGCAAAAATTCACCTGCCGAATGACATAATTTCGACTAGTGTAACTGAAGAGTTTCTAATTAATACCATAATCATCTGTATTAAAAGCTATATAATGCAAGAAGAAGAAAAGAAATTTAAGGTAAATTCACAAGAAAAATGAACTAAAAATATAAAAAATACTTAACAGCAAACATTAGAAAAGCTTTCTTTAAAAAACTAGTCTTTAACATTCAAACTGTCATCTCTTAAAAAAACTTTTCTTATCAAAATACATATTGACATAATTAATTTTCTATACAAAACCTGGACAGAGAGATGTGAAATATTTCAAAAGTGAAAAACCACTATAGATATTATAAAAAAAAAGAAGAAACAAGCAATATATGAGACCAAAAAAAGATCAAATATTTAATTAGAAAAAAATATATATAAAAAATCAATATACTAATCTGATAATGGAATACTCACATAAATTATACTGAGAGCAATGCTCAAATAGACAAAGAAATTATTGATAAAATAAATATAATGATAGTCTCAATATAGTAGTCTTCAAATACTATACTAGAGTAGGAGAACAGTTATTATTAGAAAAATATATTAGGTGCTTCCTAAATGAAAGGAAAGATATTATACTAGAAACCTGTATCTTTGCAGCAAAAAAATAACACATAATTCAAGTTCTAATAAAAAGATTATATATTTCATCTAAGAAAAGTAAGAACAGATCTACCAAGTACTCTATAATACAAAATATTCTTAAACTCTATTATGAAAAAGTTAAAAGATCTCACTAAAATCTCACATTTAGATCAAATCTCTTGGCAGATCAATATAAGTAGCAATAAACCAGAAATAACAAACATTAGTAAAATATTTGATTAGACAAAGGAGAATTAAATATCTTGATAATAATTCAATAGCAAATAAAGAGCTACCAATATATCACAATATACATAGATAGATTAGTGTTAAACTATGACAACAGACTATATATAAGCTCGAATAAATTATAAAGAATGAGATAAAAACAGAATATAAATTCTAAGGATAAATACAACTCTACTGTATACCTCTTCAATAAGAGTAGAACTGATAATCATAACTATAGCAATAAGCATACTAAGTAGAAACACTATAGTCAATCTATATATAGATAGCTAAGATGTAATAACAAACTTAACAAAAGACATAAATATCAATAGATTCAAAAAGAGAGAAAATTCCAATTAGATAATTGTAAATATCTTCAATTATATTAGAAAACAATAGAACTTGAATGTAGTATTCTACAAAGTAAAAATATATACAGGTATTTATTTCAATAAGAAAACTGATAGACTAATTATGATTGATTCTATTTCATCAGACATGAAATCCAACTAGAAGTTCATTAATATTAAAAAATATCATCAAGGATCAGTATCAGTAGACATGGTTTAAAATATATTACAGATAAATATTTCAGGTAAAGATTTAATAAAACAAGTTAACAAGGCTATCAAGCTAACCAAGTAAAAACTATTGAACAAAATTCAAAATAGATTTATAAATAAGGACTTCAGAAACATATATTGGAAACATATATTCAATGACATATATTCATCTAGAATGAATAAATATATAACATTAAATAATGATTATTATATAAAAAAATTCAGCTTCAACTTTTGATACAAAAAACTTTCAACCAATATCAAGCTATTTAGCAGATATCTACAGATCCATAAGGATGACAGATGTTACAAATGCATGATAATAGAAGATACCATATATCCCTTCATATACAATAATAATATAGAAATATTGAAAAAAAATTTTCATAGAATTCTAATCAAATATGCATCATTACACATAAAGAATGAGCACAAGAGGAGCTTCAAGGAAGTCATTTATAGATGGATATAGCTGACTAATCCTAGAATTTTCAAACTACTCATACAGGAAACATTATCGAAAGAAATACCTGAGACACTAGACACAATCATATCAGGCAAAAATAAAGTAATAGAAATAGTCATAAACACAATAAGAGAATGGAAGAAGCTACTATATGACATATGGAAAAGAAGATGTAAGAAAGTCCATGATCAAGAAAATCCCCAAGGCATAATCAAACATAATAGATATAAAAGGAGCAGAGAACAGAAAATCAAGGATCGCATGGATCAAATACAGTACAACAATCTTTATTAAATCTGAACAAAATAGTAAATAGTTACATAAATGAATATATAAAATATCAAACTAACATTTTCACCATTCTATCATTTTATATAACAACTAGCATGACTTTGGCATGTTAGTTTCTTCTCCTAAAGGGAAGGGCAACAGACAATGAGATAGCACATAGCTTATTGAGTTTTATTATTGCCGAATACATATTTCTGTACTATAGCTTTAACCATCCTGTACAAATGTAATTTGGAAAAAATAATAAAATGAGGTTGCGCCAGTCAAAAAAAAAAAAAAAATTTTTTTATTGAGAATGACTGTCATAGGTTTTCTCATTCAGTTTAACAGAATCTTCGATTTAATTTTCTACAAAAACCAACATTTATATCTTTATATTTTTCAATAAATTTTACGCAGTGCAGTTAATGAAAAGTGAATATTACCGAGAATAAGTATATTTTAAAATTTTAAATATTTATTTATAAATAAAAAAATTTGTAAGTTAGTTCTAAGAATTTTGTATCATAAAATCTGAAACAAAAAACATTTAATAATAATTTTTATTATATACCCATATTTTTATTGTAAAAACTTTTCCGGTAATTCATCTGATAAAATATATACAGTGCAATATTTAATTACGTAATATTAAAAATTTGCGCTAAATCTTCAGTAATACTTATTATGCGTATTTGTCAATAATCATAATAGTGTATTGTTTCTTATCAGCCAATGTTTCTTCTTATTACGTCACTTAACATTATTACAGTATTATGCTTTCTTGTATTTCATGTAAACAATTGACATTATTATCACGCCAATGTAAGATGACTAAAATATTGATTTAAATCATTATTCTCGAAACTGGTATTTGACATATTTTCTTCAGACTCCTATTAATAATTTAATATATACAGTATATATATATAGGAAAATAAATCAATAGATCTAGTAGGTTTAACTTTAGTGACTGCAATTTATGTTTGCATTCTGTAAAAAAAAAAGGTATTAATATATAATCTTTGAAGTCGCTTCTTTGAAAATGTGTAAACACAACGTAAATAGTCTCACGATCTCTCAACGCGCATGTTAAATTACTACATATAATTCTATAAAGAAGCTTGCAAGTGATGTTTTTCTGTCGCGCGGATCTTTTCGGAATATTACTGCGTATTCGGACTTTTTATACTGCGGTCGGTCCTGCTGTATAAAATAATTCTCGAATTTAGATTCTTTAAGCACAACACATAAGTCTTTTTATCAAAAAAAAATAAAAAAAAAATACTTGCGAGTCAGTTACATAGTGAGAATGTCTTCCAAGATGATCCGGAGTTTTTGCAGAAATGTTCTATCATCTCGTCTTGTTACGCGAAAAATTTTATACTGTCAACCACAAAACAGTGTATCAGGAAGATCAACTCCACACCTGTTTCAATCCTCATTTTTGAGACGCTCTGCTTCTCTGTCTTCCTCTCCTCGGAAATATTTTAACTTATCCCCTAACATAAAGGTAAGGTTATTAAAGAATTTAGAAAACAGCTTCCGAAGTGAAATTACCTTTATTTTTTGTGCGTTATTCGTTTAATTAAATAATTTTTAGATAGCAATTGGTATCCTTGGAGCTATGTCAGTTGATCTCCTTTATGCTCAGTATTGCAGTGATCGCAATGAAAATCTCCTCAATAAAACAGTGGAAAATGGTACAAGACCTGAAATCTATGTTCCAAATGATATGCTAATTCCTCGACATGAAGCTTTAGGACAGCTTATGAGAATTTTTCAACCGTGTAAACATCAATCTAACTATCATGTGGTCTATGGGGAATCTGGGACGGGGAAAACCATTCTGATTAGAATTGCATCAAGAGAAGTAGGACAGCATAAGGAAAAAGGCATACCGGGTGGACGCGGAGTCATTTATGTAAAAATTCCTCCTTTAATAGAACGTTTCGGTGAAGAATTTGGAAAAGCTCTTAATATTACATTTGATGAAAATATCTCTTGTACAAAAAGATTAGTACGTAAAATATTTGGCACAACTGAAGGTAATACTACATGTCATTAATGATTAATTGATTACCTATTTGACCTCGAACTTAATTTATAGATAAGCGAGATGTTCCAAATTGGGAGAAAGCTCTAAGTGCATTTAAGCGTAGTGCTAAATTGTACAAAGAGAAATATGGAATACCACCAGTTATTGTTTATGATGATGTTAGTATATTATATGATAGAAAGCCGGAAATACTCGATGTTCTTCAGGAAGATGCAAACTACAATGCGAATCGCCAAAATTACATTGCTGTATTTGTCGTCAACACATTTCCGACGCTTGAAAAGATTAGATGTAAGTATCAACATTCTTTTTGTATTTTTGAAATTGTATCACTTACAAAACGCGATTCTTTAGCTCATATTGACTGGAAACGCGCAAATGAAATAATAAAAATCGGTGATCTTAATGAGGATGAAACATTAAATTATCTAGTAGAAAAGCACAAGATTAAACAGGTGAAAGCGAAGAAATTATATGAAATAGTCGGAGGTTGTATTTTGAAATTAGATCATGTAGCGAAAGATTTTCTGGATGGACAGACTCTTGAATGTAAGGATATCTCTATCATTCATTTCATCAAATTTATGATCACTGCTTCTCACTAGCTCTTTTTCTGCAGCCATTAAACGAAATGCCTTTATTGAAGTACAAAGAGAATTTATATTAGCGCATCTTCTTTTAGGATGTCGATATTATGAAGCAGGAAAGAGTATCATTAGTGAATTGTTGAAGTCTAAGGAGATTTGCTTTTATAAATTTCGCAGTTATTTCAATAATAATGAGGAAGTAAACGACGTGTTACGAAGAAATGTATTCGCATATCTTCCTAAACAAAACACCGTGAGCTTCCGGTCTAAACCAATAGAATCTTATATTCGAGAAAATCCCAATACATAAATTTATTTGATAAAGTATATTTGCAATAAATGTGATTAAAATAAAATAATATAATATAAACAACGTGCATAATTTTTAATATGTCTGAAGTGAAGGGAGAATTTGAGACATAACTAATATGCTAATATCAAAGAGGGAAGGGTAAGAAAGTTCAAAATTGATCCAGCACTATATTAATTCTATTGTGGGAGGCTAAACCGGCGAGTCCGTCGCTAATTCCTAGCGTCTCGCGTAACCCGACGAACAAACCAAACACGCAAATAACAACGAACAAAAGAAAGGAATGCCTCTCTTAAAGAAGCACTTAGAAAGGCAGAGTCATGGGTATTAATTTGGCAAAGGTAAGTGTCTTCTTTATTCGCGTTCAGTTCCTTTTGTTCAATAACCAACTATTTCATTTCAATGATGGCTATCCCAGCACATCCGTATCACTTTTTCGGATACATTGATGGGCTATATATGTACATATGCTTTCTATATAACGATGGGCTATATACTTCGCAATATGCTAGGCTAACACTAAACTTGCTAAACTTTCTATACTCCGTTACACACACGCAGTTAGTTCCATTATCATTACTCGACACTCCGTTGCGTAGATCGCGTTACCCACGTGACCTCCAACACTATAAATTATTTTCTGCACCTATGCATCTGACTACGCCTTAATCCTTTTACAGTATATTAGAATTTTAAAATATATTTTCCTTAAAAGAGTTTTTCTACAAAAAACTTTTCCTCTACATTTACACTACTTTAAATTATTCTTTATCGCCAATTCGATGCCACTGGCAATAGACTCATTATGTTTATGTTTTATAACGCACTAACCCACATAACAGTTATGAAATATACTCAGATAATTAGTAAAAGGAAAAAGAGTATAAACGAACGATTTGACTAAGTTAATATCATAGTAACAAAAATAAATTTTTTCCTCGATAAAAAAGAGAATAAATACGTATACAGTGCGATATATAAAAACCACTTCAATTTTAAATTATAAATCGATAACTTGATAAAATTAAATAAATTAATGTATATATTTTATTTACGAATATAAATAATAAAACTTGAGAATAGATTATTAAAATTTTAGTATATTACAAGTTAAAGAAATTTTATTTATGTATTTATTTATTTATTTGTAAACGTTAGCTTTATATTAATTTGAAAAATCTGTAATCAAGAAACTATTAATACTATTTTTATGCATAAATTCGTCAAACAAAAATAAATATATATAGCATATAAAACAAATAAATTGAAATTTGGTACAAAAAAAAAATAGTAATTTTATATTATATCAATATTTTTAAATTTAGTAAAAAATTTTAAAATTAATTTTTATCAAATAATATATATATATATATATTTATTTATTATTTATTTAATAACCTAAGTTAAATTTATTGAAATAAGTTGTCAGCACCTTCTTATGTTATAATTTATAAAACAAATTTTTTAAATCACTTTCAAAAAAATTTTTTTTGAATTACATTAATTATAAAAAATCTTTGATTTTAATTAATTTCTTGTATTGCTAATTAGTATATACTAAATACTATTGATATTATATAAACAATATATGAAATTACAATAAAAATAAAATAAAAATATATAGTATATAAATCATAAAATAAATATTTCAAAAAAACTCTTTCTTGCAGATTTTTTTTCAAGAAAAAATTTCTTTTTTTTGGCAATTTTACAAGGAAAAGAAAAAGTGAATGGAAAAATGAGTTTTTTTAAAGAATTCCAAAATTAACATAGCAAAACTAGACCTAACTACAACAAAAACTTTCTGACAAAAGGTAATATAAATTTGCCATATAAAGAAATAAATATGAAGACTTCAAAAAAAATACAAAAACTCAAAAATCAATAATAGCAATGATCTCTAATTTAAAAAAAATAATATCAATAGCTCCACCAGAAACCAAAACATGTGGATACAAAAAAGTTTAAACAAAGTCAAAGAAATAGCAACAAACAATAACTTTTAAATCAACAAATAAGATAAAGTTTCAATAAAACAATCTTGTTAAAAACTATATAATAGTAAACCAATAAACAAATTCAATGTACGAACAGAACTAAACAAATAATAGTTTAAAAAAAGAAAACCTCAATCTAAAAATATTTAAAGTAAATACAATAGAAAATAATTCCTATAACAATAAAGTTTACAATAAATACATTAAAAGATTATATTTCTCTCAAAATAAAACAAACAAATTAAGATTAGGTTATTATTTTATTAATAATCTAATATAGTAAACAAAAATACAAAGTAAAATTAAAGTCAACAAAATCCTAGGAAAAACAACTGATCAAAAAATTGTATTTCTAATCAAAGCTTTAAACTTGCTAAAAAACTTGAAGTAATAAAAAATATATTATATCTTTATTTGTTAATTAATAAGTAGTAGAGAAAATATTCAATTTAAACTTGTCAAAAATTAATAAAAAATAACTAACATATATATAATTTAATAACAATTAAGCAAAAAAAAAATACAATATCAAAGTATAAAATATTTTATTAAAGATCAAACTCTTTGATATATAATAAACATTTATCAAATATAAACAGATTACAATATTTGATAATCATTTTACAATATAGCAAACTGCTATAGTGATATATGAAAATCTTGATACAAAAATAGAAGTAATTAACAAATAGAATATTTCAATTAAGGCAGATTCAGTCAGAGTATTCAATATATAATAGAATATAAAATAGATAATTAATTAAGACATTATTTTGTTAATATTACAAAATTAACAATTTATAAATTAAATTTTTGATTGATAAAGATTAATCAATACTTTATTGGTTAATTTTTATATATCTTTAAAGATCCTCAAAGGCTTTTATAATAAGTTATAAATATCAATTTTATTAACATACTTTTTTATAATAACCTTATATATAAAATATATTGACAAATATATATTAACTATAAACTTTATAATAAATCTAATAAAGATTCAATAAAAATAAAGTTTTTAGTTATCTTAAATAATTTTGATAATTTTCAAAATTCTTTGAGGACATTTAAATTTTATTTTTTTTAATATTTATTTTATTTATTAATATTAATCTTATTTTTAAAATTCTTTAGAAGATTTAAATTCTCTTAAAAATAAGTATTCTATTCATAAAAATTCTTATAATATTTATTTATTAGAAGATCCTTTAAATAGTTATTATTCTTCAAAATTTTTTGAAAAAAACTTTAATAAATTTCACAATAAAGTATATGTGAATTTAATAATATATATATTTTAAAAAATAAACTTAATACTTCAACTAGAAATGAAACAATTTTTTTAAAAAATATTCTAATTTATTAATCAATTAATTGTCAAAAAATATTCAACATGAATCTAAATTTATGAATAATATAAAACAATTATATTAAATTATTTTAAAACTTATATATTATCTCATAAAAATATAGAATATTTTTATGTTATTTATCAATTATTAATTGTATTAAAAATATTCTAAAAATTCTTTATATTTTTCAAGATTTGTAAAAGAATTTGAAATTCTATATTAAGATAATCTGATAATTAAATTATTTAAGTTAAATGTTCAATTTTATTTTATTTATTAATTATTTTATTTATTTTTATTTTTTTAACGCATAATTATGCTACTTTTATATATTTTTATTGAGATATTAAGAAATATCAAAATATTTATAGGTTTTTTACAAAGTAACTAACTTATTATTATATATTATTAATTAAAGAACTATACTACTTAAAAAATATAAGAAATTCACTAAGCTAATTAGGATTAAATAAAACTAAGTCTAAACTAGGTACTTTAAGTCAAATTTAGGAAACAATATTATGTTTTCCTAGTAGCTTGATATAATGCTTCTAAGTTGATTAGAATTATTACCAACAGTTTATTGTAGTCGATTATCCTGAAAAACAATAAATTGCTAAAGTATGGCACTAGAAAAGTGAAAAAAAAAATACAATTCAAAGCTCTCCAAAAGGTTCTTATTTTATTTCACAGTTTCTTCTCGAAAAGAGTTTGTCTAATTTAAATATCCTCTAAGCTTCATGACATTTGAAAAACTTAACTATTTCTGAAAGTGACTTCAAGAAGAATGTTTGAGAAATGTATCCTTCTATCGATATATGGATTTGCTTATTACTACTAGAGCCAGCATCATATTATGAAAGAGTTTGTCTAACTGGAATAAAAAAATCTTTTCAAGAATTTTGACTAACTAATATAGAAGCTTGAAGACTTTAACTTTTGTCCAAGAAAGTCTTTTCATCACTTTTAGAAACTTAATAAGAAATGGAAGTCAGATCTGTTTACCTACTTGTAACTTGCCTTCCATTATCATAATTATTTCTTCGAGACCAAAAATATACAATTAAAGAAGACACTTTTTCTAGAACTTTCTTTCCTACATCATCAATAATATAATAAGACACATGAGTGTGATCAATATAAGCTTGTTTACATTTCAAAAACTGACATGTTTTATGTCAATCAATCATCATTGGTGAGGATTTATACTATTCAAAATTCAGGATCAAATTGAGATAGTCAAAATTCTCCAGAAAACCATAAAAGTGGAAGCTTTAAGAGGGTCAAGACAGTTAAAAAGGGAGAAAATAAATCTTTTTACTACAGAAAACCTCTATAAACCTTTCACTTCAAAGGTTAGATAGGTCTTCAAGTACT